GTCGAGGACGGGGCGGCATGGTTCATGAGGAAATGGCACAGGCAGGAGGCGGAAGCGTCCGCGAAGCGCCAGCGCGCGAGAGAAGCAGAAGCAGAGGGTACGACCATCTCAGGACCGACGAGAAAGAGAGCCGGGGAAGCGGCGGTGGGGAGGGAAGAAACGGTGACCGGGCACTGCTGTAGAAGCGAGTAGGGCGGCCGAGGCAGCACTTGTGGCGAACTATGTACCCGGCTGATGTTGTTGCGCCCTGTTTCCCTCCCTGCTGTATGCTATACTCCTTTATGTATGTCCTTTGTATTGCCTTCGGCCTCTGTGCTGTGTTTCTTTTTTTCATGACCTCCCTGCCTACTCTGCTGTGTTGGGTACCTTGATCTCGCTTTGCTGTTGCCTTTGTTTTTTGTACGTCTGGCTGTCTGCCCATCTGCCGCCTCTTTGTCCTGTTTGCTCCGTTACTCCCATGCCCTGGTGCGTAGTGGCTGGTGCTGGTACGTTACCCTTTGAGTTTTTTCTTTGGGCGGGTGTGGGAAGCGTCCTCCTTTATTATTATTATTATTTTGATCTGTTTCCGAGGGCTCGTTTCTCGAACGGTCGGTGCGATACCTGTTCTTTTCTTTCTATCATTTCGTTTTCTTGTTCCGAGTGGTTTGTACCATATTTTTGTTTTATTGTTTTCTCGCGGCGTCGTATGTGTCGGGTTTTGAGACCACGGGCTCCCCATTTTTTGTGGACTACTGTACAGAGCCAATGTGAGAAACAACAACAACAACAACAACAACAACAACATTAACAGGCGTTACCCGGCCTTTATGCAACCAAACAAGCTGCTTATCCGACAAAGGACGTACAATCTCACCTCTCTCCTACTCCAGCAGCCCCGAAGACCATCCTTGTTCGCTCCTGCAGTCGGGAAGGCAACCTTGTGCCTGCAGCAACCCCGAAGACCGTCCTTGTTCGCTCTTACAGTCGGGAAAGCAACCCTTGTGCTTGCCGACGGCGTAGTACATCGCCTCGCCGTCAGGATGATGATCGCTGATCAACCGCCCACGATGCGTGGGATGGTGTGGGTTGGAATGATCTGTGTTTGCCTAGCTAATAACGAATCCTGGGCTCTGATTGGCTTGCACTAATAAATTGTTAGTTCTATATGAGCTGAATGGAGCCCTCTGATTGGCTTTCACTAATAAGATGAATTCCCAAGCAACAGCGGCGCCGAGAGACCGAGAGGGGATAGATGTTTGGACTGCTGTGGCATAGATGGTGGTTCTTTCTGACAATCCATGGATTGGGAATAGGCGCTCCCGACCGGGAGATCGACGAGGCGTATATACACCAGCGCTGGCGAGATTCTTGCACGCCTCAGTGTACAGCGACCTAGGCCTACCCACTCCACAACAACCTAATTCGGGGTGTTGGGTTTGGGTTAGGGTTAGGGATGGGTTAGGCCTAGTGAGGCCTAGCGCCTTGGTGCTGCCTGGGGGCTGGAATCCTGCTGTACCTTTGGTTTCGTGTCTATCTCCAATCACAAACCAAAAATCGTTGAACTGGCGAGTGCAAGAATGAGAATCTCGCCAGCGTAGTCTATACGCCTCTCGGCGGGAGATCCTGCGGGGGGCTCGCATACAGGATAACAAACAGGTTACACCGTCACCCAGCCACCGACACCAGTCAAACAAGCCATACCGGCAACCACGCCCGACCGACCTGTAACGGACTGCACCCGCTGACGAACGCTGATACCACCCAGCCTGCAGCTGGCAGAGGGAACGACAAAACGACCAAGCCCTAGCCTCCACGTGACGACTATGACGAACAGAATCTACATCGGACACCTTTCCCCGTGAGTCTCCTCTTCCGCGGCGTTTTTTTTCTGTTTTTTTTGGCAGCCGCATAGCCTGGGCGGGGTCTTCGAGTCTGTTTGGTCTGATCTCAGGGAGAGTTTTAGGGGGCCATGGGAAGGGCGAAGGGGTATGAATCCCCTAGCGACTACTGCACGGCGGCCTGTGTCGGGGGCGATCGCACGAGTACGCCCTGGACAGCTTGGATGTTCGATAAAGACCATCAAAATTTAGGCTAATTCTTCACAATTCTTCACGAGGTGGTCCCAACACGACAGGGAGTTTGCCTGCTGTGAGATTTTATGATTTTTCCCTTGAAATAGATACCGGTTCTGTGTTGGTGTCTATGCGAGTTGTGTCTTTCGCCCACATCAGCAGGGCCGATGTTCGACTGGTGAACTCACCGTGCACCTCTAACTTGCGTGCGGTAGCATACACACGCAACAGGTATTCATTTTTGTGCAAGCGAAGCGAGGGAAATTTTGCTCCATCCAGCTTTTTTTTTTTCTTGGCATAAATGATCGGCCCTGGGGTGCCGTTTACGATACAAGATAACACACCCCTTTTGGACTGATTTTCAAAGCTCGATTCATCAACAGCAGAAAGAGTCACGGCGCCGAAAACGGCGGCGTTGAAGCCGTATGGTCGACAGCTCTTCGAAAACGTATCGTTTTGTTTATGCATCCTCTTCGTCATGGAGTAATCGAGCTTTGAAAATCGGTCCAGGGGGCGTGTTATCTTGGGTCGTGGTGTGTATCCAGGTTACACGAGATACCACACCCGTTTGGGGCCAATTCAAAAAGTTCGATTACTCCACCATCAAGAGGATGTCAAAATATAACGTTTCATCGGGAAGTCCTCTACAAGGCGGTTCCCGGTTCCCGCAGCCATTTTCGGGCACTGTCACGGTTGTTTTGCTGCAGAATTCGGGCTCTGAAGCTCGGTCCGAATGGTATCTTGTGCGGCAGTACGGGGTAGTAAATACCCCGCCTCGGCACCACAGCAGTTTTTATGTTGCCTAGAGCTATGGCATGCGTGTGCGTGGGAATGCATCTGAATCCGACTGGCACGCTGAAAAGGTGCACCCTTAAAGAGCCGTACCGGACGGAAGTGGACATACGACCGCATTGAAAAACGCTTTCGTTCATCTGTTCGGATGTCTCGTTCATTCATTAGTTCTTGTCTCTTCCTGAAAGGTTAGTTTAGTTCCTGCACTGCTTGCTCTCCCGGGGGGGCGAAAGGGTTTGGATCTCCAACCCTGACCCGGCACATCCAGGGCTCTAGGAGACTTTGGGGAGATACGTATATGAACCACGAAGAACGAAGGACCAATATCCCTGTACAGCAGTTTGCACAATACCGCTCGGTTCCAGGCCTATATCCAAGACTCTCGGAACACTTCCACGAGATTCACGACAGGCCAGCCATGAATGAGATGCCCTACAGCGGCAGTAACATGACACCAAACCCCGCTAGTCCTTGTCTTTGCTGGGGCTTACAGATCGGATTTGTCGGAATTGTCGTTTATACCTTTTCTGTCAGGCACACGCGGGACAGGGACCTCGACCGGGCGTTCGGCAGATACGGCAGGATCGAGGTAAGCACAAGAACGATGACATGCCGTAGAGTGTGGAGAAAGAACGTGGAAAAGGAGAGAGAGGGAGAAGAGACCCAGGCACGCTGGGAAGTCGAGTCGCGCAAGGCGGCGCGGCCGCGGTAGGCTCCCCACACTTGTGCAAGATCACTATCGCTCACCTTGGCTGGGTCCGGTCGTGTCTGCGTTTGTCGTGGTTTGGAGCTGCTTTCTTGAGAGCGCATACATGTGTAGTCGTGAACAGGCGCGATGGAGGGAAGCACCCTTTCACATTAATACAGGAGGTAAACAAGAACACCGTCCGGAGAACGGCGGAAAGAAAGTGCTACCTCCCTCCCTCCTGTGTGACCCGGGCTGGTTCATAAAACGTTTTCTCACTACCGCACCGAAAGGTATAGTGACTGGCTCCTGGAATAGTCTACATGTGGAAGAAAAGAGTAAACCTGCTTTGGTTCCCTTATCTTGCTGCTGGCGTCTTCCATGTAATTTAACACCGCCCCTGCTGCTGCTGCTGATCGCCCGTCGGCGTTGTTGCGTCACCCCCCCCCGTCCCTTTCTCGATTTTCGTTTTTTGTGACACTTTCGTCCAGAAAATCGATGTCCGGATGGGATTTGCCTTCATCGAGTTCGAGGACCGCCGCGACGCCGAGGACGCTGTTGCCGGTGAGATAGTCATACCACTAACACTCGCGACAAGCACGTACACTTCTTGTTCGGATTTTGCGTTAGACGCGCTCACGAAACATGACCTCCTGTTGTATAACCGCGGCTGGTGCGTCCACCACTTTTCAAAAAATGTGTACGGTCACCCTAGCGCCCGGATAACAACAATAAACGCGTCGATGCCAATTAGACCTCATCGTTTGGTCATGATGCATTTTTTATGCACGTGGTTGAGGACGACCGACATCCACGAGGCTGACTAGCTGGTGGCTTGGGGCTCGGTTATAGTGGAGAGAATAGTGGAGAGATATTTAAGCTGGGACTTATTTGAGTCAAGCGATACCGAGCTGTGGCTTGTTGAGTCTAGCGACTCCGACATGAACATCGCGAACCAGTAGCAGCCTCAGCAACATTCGGTGCTCCACCCCGCACCGCAGAGCAGGGCAGCTGTTGTTTTACACCAGCGGCAAACGCTGGAGATGAAGTTCGGAGAGGGGTGGCGCACGTGAAAGATGGATAGCACACGGCCGTACCAAAACGTTTAGAGCAAGGGCGTGACTTCCGTACCAACAAGGAGCCGATATGGGTTAGGGTGTGCCTCGTACTATTGGCATGCTCATGCTTCTTTCCTTTGCGTCGACGGCTCCAACCAGCTGTGTGTCTTAAGCTTCCGCTGCTGTCTGTGGGACGCGGACGGTGTTGTCCGCAGAAATGGACGGCCGCGAGTTCGACGGTGCGCGCATCGTCGTCCAGCCCGGCCGCGGGCACCGCCCCAACGGCCCCAAGTTCGCTACCCGCCGCACGGAGCACCGCATCACCGTGGAGGGCCTTGACTCCCACACCAGCTGGCAAGATCTCAAGGTGTGTGTTTTGGTTTTGTGTGCATGGGTGGCTGTCGGTGTTGTGTATCCTTTTTTGTACACATGCGTGTATTTGTGTTTTTAATACACAACGAATCCATCTCTATTCACCGATGAGAGTCCAAGAAAATCTTTTTTTTGTCGGTTTTGCTTCGTGGGATCGATGTTGATGTTTTTTTGTTTTTTTTTCCCACCGCCGAGTCGTGAGCGGGGACGGACAGGAAGGAGAGCGAGGCCGATGTTGTTGTGATACTCCGTCTTCTGCGGGTGTCCTTGCACATCTTGCTCGGTGGGTTTACGTACAAGAATGCGGCTCTTTGCTCGCGAGAAGCGCTGCTGCTGCCTGCTTGTGCACACTGCGTGTGTTTGCTTTGGTTGCACCATTTGCATCAAGCGCGCTAACCGGTTGACCAATGAAAGGAAGTCAGTGGCGTGCGGCCGTGTGTGTCTGACCTATTCCGTGCAGCAACAAGAAAAATGTTTGTCACGATCTCTGAAACGCGTCCTCCCCGCCGGTTCGCAAACGATCCCTGCCGACGCGATGTGTCTCAAGGACTTCGGGCGGCAGGCAGGCCAGGTGCTCTACAGCGATGTATTCTTCCGACAAGGCCGTCGCTGGGGTAAGTGGCTTTCTTGACACGTGGGCGTACAGCGCACACAGGTTTTGTTTTTTATGAACCGGATTCGTGGGTAGGTAGCTTTTTGCTGCGTGGGTGAAGGGTCGGCACTGCTGCTTCAAAATGTGTGCAGCGAGATTAAGGAGGCAGGGTTGTTATCGTGGGTTGGTTCAGTGTCACTTACCACGTTTTTTTTTTTTTGTCAATATTTGTGTTGACTTGAGAGTCCTGGATGGGATCCATCTCCCTAGTCACTGCCGTGAGTTGTCCCAACCTTTTCCGCCGAGATAAGCCGCGCACCATGCCGTGCCGTCCGTAAATGACAGTTTGAGGGCGTCGGGTGCACTGCAGTAGATGATGTCGTTCGTGATTGAACGCCTCCCAGGGCCGACCATTGTCTCTGGCAACTACTCTAGCCGCTACAGTAAAAAGGCGACTGCTTCGAAGAACCCGGTCGGCGCAAGACGCTGATGCCTACCTGGTACATACATGATATCACCCCGAGAGGTTTTCGTGTAGTTCGTAGATGATCAAACAGCTTAGCGAGGACACTCCTAGCTCTTGTCAGTTTTAACCTGTTCTTTGACCAGCTCTCGATGAGGCGTGAACTACGCGCACCGCGCAGGAAATTCGTTGCGTTGCGCCCCATGACGTTATTCGTCCCGTCCCATGACCCATCCGTCCCGTCCCATGACTCATTCATCTGCGCCATGACGGCCTGCGTCTCACAGGGGTTGTGGAGTACGTGTCACGGGACGACATGAAGGCGGCCATCCGCACCCTTGACGACACACGACTCGGCGGGAAGTACATCCGCGTGAGGGAGGTGAGATCCACCATCTGTGCAGTACATTGCCGACAAGACGAAAGGAGCGCGTGTTTAGTGGAGATTGATTGCTCTAGAGGAGCAGCGCGGCGGGTTGTTTGCGCAGCGACAAGCGTTCAGGACTGCTTTGCCGGTACGGGGAGGCAGCGTGAGATGATTCTTCCGTGCAGCTTTTTTATTGCTGAAGGACAGAGCTTGGTGAGCATGCATGATGCCTTGCACCCCAGCCTATAGCCTTCAACCACCTTGGTTCGACCCCAAAGATTTTGTTCTCGCATAGAACACCCCGTCCTTCAGCCCAGCCGCACTCTCTGCCTCTACAAAACGTACTTCTTTGCCATCACCCATGTACCCGTGCAGGAAAAGAGCATAGAAGAATACATTTATCTCCTACCCACCGGCACTTTTTTGTATCCTCCCAAACCTGACTGTTGCCATCACCTCTTGAATTGCGTGCGTATGCCGCGCAGGAGAACAGCGGTCGCGACAGCCGCTCTCGCAGCCGCTCCCGCAGCCGCTCCCGCGACCGCCGCCGCTCCCGCAGCTACTCCCGCTCCCGCTCCCCGCCTGCCCGCCGGCGCGAGCGTTCGCCGTCGCCCGATGACCGGGGACGGGGGCGGGGGCGCACCCGGGACTACAGCCGCAGCCGTAGCCGTTCTCCCGCCCGCCACAGGTGAGTGTGTTTTTTCGAGTTTCAGCCACGTACTGATACCACGACTTTGATTGTCGCTTCTTCAGATATAGGAGCGAGTACATGAGTATTAGATAAGACGCGAAGTGCCGACGGTGCATGTTGATTTTGGAGGGCTCATTGCCCGGCTACTCGTGACCATCTAACCCTCAAATCACGCTCTTCGTGTGCTTCGTCCGGAACCGAATTTCTCTGTCGACTCTTCTTGCCGGGCAGCCGCAGTAGGAGCCGTCACTCTCGCTGAGACGAGTGAGAGAACAACGGACCGGGGAACGGACATGAGAGCAGACAAGAGAGGAGAGGAAGAGGGAGACTCTCCGGAGACTGTTCGTCGTTTTCGATCGTTCGGTTATGTGATCTCTTTCTCTCCTTTTATTTTTGCTCTTTCTCCCTCGCCCCTTCTCTTCCTCTACGGTGGCTCTCTGTCTTGTCTTCTTTTCCTGCTTCATGATATCTACTGTACCACAAACCTCTTTCGTCAGTTTTGGATCCGTTTCTGAGGTGCTGGCGTATTTCGGCAAAGGATCGGTTACACACCACAGAAGCATCAATCGCGGCTCGAAGCTTGTGGGAGGGAAGAGAGGGGAAGAGGAAGCACTTGTTTGTTTGAGGAAGGCCGGTAAGTCGGCTTGTCCATGACATCCTCCGGACAACCTAGCGGATCGGGCCGGCTCACCTCTGCCGCTTGGGTCCCAATGAATGAGGCCAGGCGCACGACCGGCAGTGCCTAGGAAGACGATGGTGAAAAATTTAGGCTCGAAGGACGGGATGGACGTGTCTGGATTGCAACGGACGATTGATGGCGGCGAGGTCAAAAAGCTAAATTGGCGTAAGTGAAATTCGTCGGATGTTGTTTTCTGCCGCCCGTTGTTGCGACCCCGGTTGTTGTTCTTTTATCTCGTGGAGTGTCGCGTTGGTCCGTTCAACAACTTTCAACGCGGTAAGATCACATGCGCTCCTTTCACCAAGTGCACCTTTTTTTTTTCTCTCATCTGTGTCGCTTTTTGTTGCCGGCTCAATTCGTGTGTGTTCAAAAAGTATGTGGTTTTTTCGGATTTGATTGCCTGGACGGTCTGGACTGGTATCTATCTGGCTCCAAGTGGCCTGGGTCATCAGGTTCCTCCTGGTTGCTGATGAGGGGAAAGTCGAGAGAGGAGGGAGACGTGTGCGATGATCAAAAGAGCGAAGGGTGCACCGCTGTGGAGCATGCTCGCTCGTGACAGGCCGGATATTTGTGGTATGAGGAATGAAGGGAGGCGTTAAATGTCTAGCTCCGTCGCCCCCTCATGTTTGTTTTATTTTCAGGACCGCTTCCCTTGTCTACGCGGTGTGTAGTAAACCCGAAGTAGGGAACAGTTTCATTTGTTCAAGGGTAGCCTCACAGGTGCTGCATGGTTGTCATGTATATGTTGCACGCTCGGGAAGATAGCGTTTAGTTTGTTGAGAGAAACGCGAGCCCGATGCCGTAAGATGTTGCATGCGCGTTGTTGTAGTACAACTGAGCAACGATGGAGCGTTGCTGAACGACGCCAACACGTCACTTGATAGTGGCGGGCATATCATTGCACTGATGCCAACTCGACCAACGAAGCGTTCGGACCTCTTGGCCCATGTAGAGCGGCTGCAGAGGCAGCGGACGTGACCTCGCGCTCGTACACGAAAGACAACGCGTTAGTAATCTACGAAGGGTGTCGCTGTGTTTTCGGTGGCGTACGCCGGGATGGAATGTCGCATCATCCCTCCACCCGCTGTCCCTGACTATCACTCATCATGCGATACGGGTTCATGAGGCGGAGGAACGTTACAACAGGTGTTCCGGATCTGGTCTGGTCTGGTCTGGTGTGTAGTTCGCCGTGGTTCTGGACGTCCTTCGCCAGGGCGATCATGGTGGCAGTAATGTGCCACATTTTGTCAACGGTGCATGCCCTGGACCCTTAGCTCGACAAGTCCCACCAGTCTGGACTGAGATCTGTGGTCTGTGGTCTGTGGTCTGGTTCTATATGGAAATTTCGGGTTCTGGTCTCTGATGAACTAACGAGAGCGAAACTGGGAAACTGGACTGGATATTTACCGGGTTTCTGGGCTGAAGGAAACAGGCGGTACGGGCATTTATTGCGCGTGGGGTTTATTTTTCAAGTAAATTTTATCGAATTTCCAATGCAAAATTGTACTTAGTCCAATCATTCACCGCTTTCAAGTTATGAGCTTATCACATGAGCTTGAGGATAGCGGCAACGGAGATGTGGCACCACTCACCGCTCGTCCGTAGGTGCCGCTGCCAACCGTTCCTCTGCTGATGGGTGGGCGGGTTACGGTCTCAGCTCACCCCGTGCCTTCCTTGTGATGCCGTCGAAACACTTGCCTCCTTGTCACGCTGTTGCTCAGTTTGCTGGCCGTATCCTGCGGTAGAGGTATGCAAAGATGAGCTGGTACACTGCTGCTGTGCGTGTAATTTTTTCCGTCCTACTGACATGTCCGCAGGAGCCTGCTCTATATATTCCCCCCACCCGCCCGCCGTCTGCATCCATCCAGCCGGGTTAATGTGTCTTTTGATGCGAGCGTCGATCGATGGCATGTACATTTCACTCACGTCTAGAAAAAGTCAGCGATTGATAACACGTGTTTGCGGTCTTCGCCCCCGCCCAGGCCCCGTTCCCTTTGCGCTGCGCTCTTTCTGATGCCCCTCACGGTGCCTCCCGATTGATTCAGTCAGATGTCTCTTACATAGACGGATGGGCAGTCCACCACAAGTCGTGCTAGTGTGGTTGCCTTGGGGTCAATGGCCTCCTCCGTCCAATCGATCGCGACTCAATAAAAGCTAAGCCGACTGGCCACCTGAAGCTCGTCGAAACGGCCGCCGTTACACTGCTGTACTTTAAGGAGAGTAAGGTCGAATGGCGGCCTGGCCCACTGGCGATTAAATGGCTGCCCACCAACTCCCCCGCCCGCTTGGATGAAGCCCGACGCTCGATGGGTTAATGCCGCGGATGGCGCCGAGGGAGATCGTGGGGTCAACACAGGCTGACGCACACCTAAGTTCGGGCTTGTGACACCCATTTTTGGTTGAACGAGGAGAAATTGGAGCACCTACCCTGCCCTTTCCTATCATCCGCAAGTAAAAGAATGGTGCCCCCGAATGCGCTGCGGCACAACGCCAATCGGGTTTCACGGTTTTCCTGGAGATGGCTTGACTGAACGTGCGCGCATCACTTCAGACAGAAAGATGTATGTATCCGCCCCTGCCAAACATGGACTCACAGTATAAACAGTTCGGATGACTGATGTTCCTTCTCCTGATCCGCATTTCTGTAGTACGGAAACACGAAAGTGGTGCGGATACAGAGCTATTCTCAGCACACGTACTGATCGGCCAACTCTTTTTTTTGTAGGAATGGAGGGTGTTCTGGACATACTTGCAGATTGTCGGGGGGCGGTAAGGGGAGTGAAACTTCTTTTGAATGGGATACACGCATCATTTGTGTTTCCTTGAATCGCAGCGGAGGGGTAGAAACGAAATTGCTTACCATGTAGACAGAACTCTGGCGGAGGCTTGGATCCGGAGATGATGATGGTACCCCTTTACTATTCCCGACTGGGGGGGCTCTGTACTCCGAAACAAATGCAGTTCTTCTCTTTCCACCCTCTCAAAGAGGGGCTTGGTCGCTCGGCCTCCCCCCTCGTGCCTGGGGTATTCGCTGATGGCATACTCTTGTGGCTCTTCGGTCCATTTCCAAGAGTAAGGGCGGGTATTAAGGACACAGTAAAAGACCCCTCCGACTTCGGCGGCTCGTTCTCTGGGGTCACGATGATTCACGATAAGGTGGAGGTATCGGATGATAGATCATTACATAGACTACAAGATAAATAGACAAATTGAAAAAAATTGAAATTGCGAGGATTTTTGGCCTTCGAAGTGTACTTATTTTCCACGTGATATTTCGGGGGAAAACGGCCGTGGGGGTGTTACGGACACCTTTCGGGTAGGGGTCCATTGAGCAGGTTGTAAAGCGTTTCAAGACCTGAAATACGGCACGTACGCTTTTACCATGACGCATGTCAGATACAATCGAGAAAAAGAAATCGATGCACACCCGGGGACAAAATGCTCATATCCCCGGTTTTGCAGCTCTATTTTGAGGGACGTAATATACCACGTTTTGGGGGCCCTGCGTGTTCTCTGGCCTTGAAACCTCCCAAAACGCACTAGTTTGATGGCGGAGTGACTGGTGTGGATCCTGTTCTGAGTCAAAAAAAAAAAAACGGCAAACGAACACCTAGGCACGACGTTACGCCTGTCCAGACATGGGGTACTTGTCCCCCCCTTTTCGGTGCATACGGCAGAATTTCCCCCAAAAACCTGCGACTTGTTTAACCAACTAATTTGCACCCAGATCAACCCCTCACGAGACGCCGGTTGATGGAACCGAATTGGATGTTGCAGAAAACATGTTGAACAAGAGCAAAAAAAAAACACGTAGCCCAGGGGACAAAAATACACCATCCTCGGGTGTTCGACAAACTGTTCGCCGCCCGTCCTGCCCCACCCCTACCGGTGCTGTTCAACACCTGAATTGCCCCGAACAACCTCGTGAACTATACTCGGCTCTCTACCGTTTGAAATCGATTCCACATGCAAACTTCAAGGCGTTCGTGCAAATTCCAACCCGATCCCTGCCCGAATGTGGTTTTGCGCAAAGAAACAACCCCCCTCTGCAAAAACCTACACATTTACCACGGGTGTCCGCGTCAGGGTTCGTCCCGATCGGGACATGGAACCACGGGCGGCTGACCCATGGCGCCCCTCTCCCACCGGGGCTAGGACCGCCGACCCTCTGCCCACGTCCCCCCATTCCCTCGCGGCGGCCGCCAACATTAACACTACCACGCCCGCGCGCCCCGCGGCCCCCACGCCCCCCTCGCCCTCCTTGAACATCGACACCTCGCCCCCCCCCGTTGACGAGGAATCCTCCTTAGTTGGAATATGCCGACTGCCTTTCGGGGAAATCCGAACGGACCGCCTGACGTTTCTTAACGTCAGGCGGTCCATTTTTTGAATTTCTCAGACTTTTCGGTTTGAAAACGTACAGCATTTACACACCACAGCCTTCAGGCAGGCGGCAGCGCCAGCGTACAAACATGCAGAGCGATGAGAACAGCGGACCTACCGGCGGCAGGCCGCCGAGGGGCCATCGCCGACCCGCGAGATACGACAACACAGGCGAAAGTGGTGCTGCCTGTGGTCATGGGTTGGGTCATGGGTTGCAGCAGTCTGCTGCCGCCGTTGATGATGACAACGGCCGCGGCCGCGACCCTCTCCCGAGCCACGCCTCTCGCCGGCTGCGCGTGGCCGCCCCCGCCGCTGCCGTAGAAGCGGAGGGTTCGCGATGCCCCCTTACGATGCTGTCGCAAGCTGCCGGGGTCGCCGGGTTTGCTACCACGACAACCACCGCAGCAGCCATCGCCCGCATCACGGAAAGCGGGTTCATCTCCAGGCTGCGACGCTTTCGCCGCCTTTGCTCCGCGAAATCTGCAGATCCACAGCGCTTTCCGTGACCATCCATGGTCTACAAGCTTACAGGCGACACAAGCAAGCCACCTGGGGACTGTCCCCGAGATCTGGAGTGCGAGAGGGTGCTCAGCGTGCTGGCGACTGCAGTGCAACTCGAGTGCTCCCATTTCGGAGTCATTTCGGAGTTTCTCTTCGGAAAATGCCGAAAATGAAGCGGCGCCCGAAAAATTCCGACGCTTCATTTTCAGCATTTTCCGACAAGAAATCGGCATTTTCCGAAAAAGTAGGGCGCATGTCGGCATATTCCAACAGAACAAATCTCGT